GACGCCGCAACACCTACAAACTACAAGAGCAATCAGAAAACATACTCCGAAGCCCTTGAAATAATAATCAACAAACACAGACGAGAGAAGAGACGAGAGGGGAGAGGAGAGAAGAGAGAACAGGGGAGAGGAGAGAACGGAGGAAAGAAAAGAAGAGAAGAGAGGAGAGGAGAGGAAAGAAGAAAAGAGAGGAGAGGAGAGAGGAGAGAAGAGAGGAGACGAGAGAGGAGAAAAGAGAAGAGGGAAGAGAGAAGAGAAGAGGGAAGAGAGAAGAGAAGAGGGAAGAGAAAGGAGAAGAGAGAAGGGACAAGAAAATCATCCCGCCACACCGCACATTGACACACCCGTATGGACTCGCAGAAGTTCCTCTGTCTGCCAAAGACGAGTGACCACTTCCGGAGGATGTCTCTCTTCTGGTGCTCAATGTCCAGTCTGCTCCGGCGTGTGTCCCTATCGTACTTGGCCAGCTGTCGACGTAACGCTTTCTTCTCGTGCCGGTTGTAGTGGTAGATTACCTCGCCTGGGGGGGGGGGTTGAAATATAATATGTAAGATGTCTCGAAAAACGCAAATAATATGTCAAAAACGGGAAATCATAATATAGATCTAATATGTCATAATATTATGCAAAATCATGTGTCACAAAATGCAAAATCATGTGTCCACCAATAAATAAATATACAAATATAAATAAACAAAATTAATCAATTAATTTTTAACATTATAATGTCAATTTTCGTTTCTCGAAGGTTGAATGTCAAAAGAAACCGCTGGTTTTCAGTAGATATTATTATGTTTATCTTTTAAATTTACGAACGGTTCAGGAAAATTATCAATAATTTTCTCGCCTCATCTGTCTGTAGGCCTAGATTTTAGGCAGGACTGATCAAAATAAACTTTTAAAAAACCCATTCCCCTCTTATCCCAATTATTATTGGAGGTGGTCGCAGACCTAGGGCTGCCGTTAGGCGGATTTCAATCAAAAGGATTTTTTGTTTTCTTTTGAAGGATTTGGGGAGGGG